CAACGTCCTCCACAACTAGACTGAAGAACAAAACGACAGCAACTTGTCTGTTCCCCTTCCCCAATTCCCCAGCACTGTTCCCATTCCCCCAATTCCCCAATAAAAATCTTTAACAACAAACAAACAAACAAACAAAAAAAACAGGATTATAAAATACTGACGCTTTCACATAAAACATTAAAAAAAGAAAAATATTAGCACTGCAAAGCAAATCAACAAAACCATAAGACAATTACAACTGTTTTAAGCTAAAATTGTCCTTTTTTCAACGATTTTTATTTGCATGTAGTAGCTCAAGTAACTCAGTGAGAGCTGTTGAGTAAAATATTTTCGTAAGTTTTGCTACTCCAAAGACACAGATTTGCTAAATACTATGATACTTGTATTTAGAAAAACCATAATTGGAGTCAGTTTGGTGAAGAGGAGAAAGAAATGGACAAGGAGTCTGGGGACCTGGGTTCAAGTCTGCGCTCTGCCATTAACTAATTATATAACTTTGGCTGGGTTACTGGAACTCTATGATAGTCTGTTTATCTGTAAAATGACAGGGTTGGTCTTCCAGCTCTAACAGTCTATGCCACTCACGTAGTTTAAGTAGGGCACTCACCAATTATTTTCAACAGTATCTATGATATTTTTGCAAATAGAGCAAATAATATTTCTTGATTAAATCTTGTATCTTCTAACTCCATTTCAAGAAGGATTACAAATATATTTGGATTTGTCATAATGTGAAACTACTGAAAGGTACCTAAGAGTGTGGCCTGAGTCCTCTAGATATACGCCATAGTCCTTTGAGATCTGATGGGTCAGATCTGAAAGAAGTGGAATCCTTATTGATCCAAGACCTCCTTGTCTTCGAGGAGTATTAATCCTGTTAACAAACAGAACATTTACCTCTCCGAGTTAATAGCACATATCAAAACAGTCAGCACTCTTTTTTTTCTGCATATGCACACATATGAACACACACACAACAAACATGTTCTTTCTCTAAGAAAAAACAGGCTAATATACATTCTATTTTCTTACCTTTTTTCCCCACTTAACAATATATTCATATCCTTTAAACACTAAATACGGAGATATAAATCACATTTTTAATGTATAGACATACTATATTTTACTGATCTCTACTGACAGACATTTAAACTTTCCATTTTTTTTCTTTTATAAACACTGCTGGAAACATCCTTGTATTCTTAACTTTGTACACTTGTCTGATTAATTCCCAGAAGTGGAATTGATGGATCAAAGGATATGCACTGTTGTAAACATAGCCTTAGAATTGTGATCACAAGACAATGCCTTGAGAGAGGCAGCATACAACTGGATGATATTTTAATATACTGAAAGACAAAATGAAAAGTCCACTTGCAGCAGTGAAGGAAATTAGACATAATCTCAGATGCATCTGTATTCAGATTTATGTATTCTTTAACTTGAAACCAGGGGTTATGGGCTGGTGCTCCAATTGTAGGGCACTGACATAGCAGCTAGAAAACAGGGAAAGACTGCTTCGTATGTCTGCAGCCCCAGTTCTGACATCCGAGTAGAAATCTGGTTGATACGAAACCTATCCAGCTGAGAATATATCCCCAAAAATTCCTTGGGAAAGCAACCCTGAATTATTTTGGATGATATAACTGTTTCCTTAGTGGATTTGTGGTTTAATCCTATGAAGATTTAGAATTATTAAAGAAAGGATGAAGCAAATTAAACCCATAGTTTTAATATTTTTATATTAAGAAATCATCAGTACATATTTGTATATTGAGTTACTTATAACAGGTAAGTGAATTTGGCCTATTAGAACAACAGATTTACTTTGTGATTCCAATTTAAAATGTGTACTTTGAAATTTTATTCAGTTTATAAACAGTAGGGAAACATTTTAAAAGGACTTAAGATACACCTTATCTATTTCTTTATTAGATTTGTAAGAATTACTTAAGTTTTTGGGAAAGATGTGTCTGAAAATTTAGATACTTAAAGGAAATCAAACAAAATATATAAGCATTTAAAAATACTTAAGATAATTACTTAAGGGAATATAAATTACATTTAAATTGTAGCTCCTGAACAAATTAAATTTTAGTTATATATACATATACATGTACATATATGTATGTATATCTGTAAATGGAGAAATGAATTTGTTACTTTGAAGAATTCAAGTTTTAAAACTCAATATAATTCTGAAGTCTTTATTGTGCATAAAATTTTGTGCACCAAATTGTGGATACGATTAAAAACTCACATCAACACACACATTTCAAATTTTGAAACATGTTGCCTAACTGCTCTCCAGAAATGCCGAACCAACTGTGTGTATGAGTGTGCCATTTTTTTCCACCTTTGTCATCACTGGATGACATTTTTCAATATTTGGAATCTTGGCCAATCAGGCAGGGAAAAAATGGCATCTCTTGTCATTTTAATTTGCAATTCTTGGCAATTAATTAGGTGGAACAATTAAAAAATTTCTAAAATTAATTTTAAAAATTATTGCTTCTTGAAAAGTAATTATAAAGACTATTTTGAGTTTGACTTAATACTAGATAACTGCATAACAGAGAAATGATATTTTAAGGATTTTTTCCTCGAGATTGTTACACAATTTGGCATAGTTAAGTAACCATGCAATTAAGTGGTTTTTGCTATGGATATTACATCTTTTGCATTGAACTTTTTCTCCCAATTTTGAAATGTCCTATAAAATCCTTAAGCATTTTTATCATAACTTCATTGAACTAATAGCTCTCAGGTAAATCTACTCCTGGATTGTCTGATAACTATATTCCTATCATGTTAAGAGTTGTCTGCCTATAATTTAAGAATAAATCCATTCTTTTCCCTACAACTGTAAGTGTACGATACTGACCAGGCCAAATGGGTAAACTGTGAATCAACGGAACATGCTACCACTTCCGTGTTTATCGATCTGAATTCTTCAATTCTGTCACCAAAGGCGATAATTTCAGTTGGACACACAAAAGTGCTGAAAGTAAAAAAATATATATATATATTCAGTATTATCAAAATATGCATATATGACAAGAATGGGATCAAACAATATGGTGAATGTTTAAATAAAAAAAAATTATTACAGTAAAAGACACATTGCTACTAATCCCCCTCAAAATTCTTCCCCTCGCTTTGAACACACTTATCCCATCATTCTTGCCACTTTCTGAAGCAGTTCTGGAAGTCCTCTTTCGTGAGTGTCTTTAGTTGCACGGTCATGGCTGCCTCGATGTCTTGAATCGATTCAAAAGGTTTTCCTTTCATGGTCATTTGACCTTGGGGAAGAGCCAGACATCTCAGGGTGCCAGGTCCAGTGAATAAGGTGGATGAGGACACACCATAATGTTTTTATTGGACAGAAATTGTCGTACCAGAAGTGATGTGTGACACGCAGCCTTGTCATGATGGAGGATGAAATAAAGACACTCATGAAAGAGGACTTCCAGAACTGCTTCAGAAAGTGGCACAAACGATGGGATAAGTGTGTTTGAAGCCAGGGGGAGTATTTTGAGGGGCATTAATGGCACTGTGTCTTTTACTCTAACAATTTTTTTTATTTAAACATTCACCATATCTTTTGATCATACCTCATATGTGGTTTCAAATTACTTAGTTTTTATAAACACCTTTAGTATATTAAAATGCACATTAAGAACAATTTTATATATGAACCTTCTCCAGATGGAGTAGTCTAAAAGATTGTCATTTGATCAAATATAATTTAATAAAAATGTATACGTGTATGACATAGTTCCCAATTACATCTCAATAAACTTTATTTTTATAACTTGAAAAATAAAAGTTTATTGATCAGTGCTCAACCAATGTTCCCTTCTCCCTTATGGGAGCACCGCCCCCACTTTATTACCTTTTATGTAATAATACTTTATATAATGCTTTACAGCTTTGAAAGGATCTATACAAATTTTACATCACTTCACTATTTTTTTACATTCCAATACCAGCCCTATGAGCTAGATGCATCTATCTCTATTTTGAAGAGGAGGAAATGTTCTCCCATCCCCCTCCCTTTCTTGGTAAGGTCCTCTTCTACCATGTGTTCCAGTCCTGTTGTCAGCGGGCAGGTTTAGAGAATGTTACCTTAGTGTAGTATTTTTCAGACTGTGGTGGGACCTACTTATGCCAATTTACTGAGTTCCAGTCAACATTTTAAAAAAGTGAGATAGAAAATATGAGAATATATCACTTACAGTAAAGGTAAATTATATATATACAAGTGCATATATATGTGTGTGTTCAGGAGTCATACAAAAAATATTTAACAACCTTAACTGAAAGTTGGCTTTAGTGTTGGAGGTTACTGAAAAGGACCAGGTGCGGGGGCAACATGGGTAGGGGGTTGGGAAAGTGGCTGTTTATCATCTGGTATGGAAGTTTCTCAGTACTTCAGTACAGCATGGCTATAATGGAACATACAAACTGAACGTTACCCTGTAAGTATAAGTAAGTGTATTGGGTGGCAATGGAAAATTCATTTCCTACTGTGTGTCATGGTCAAGAAAGTTTGAAAAATGTTGATTTAGAGGACAAGTTCCTACCACAGCCCAATATAGGCTTTCAGATGTTTCCGTTGTTCAACTGGAGGACTGTCATAGGCAAGCAGATAGTTCTAATCTAGACTACGTCCCTGGAAACCTGGGCTATAATATGTGCTTTTAGTATTTCCCCAAAGGTAGGAATGGCCAGCCCCTGCCTTCTTTTTATCCCAAGAAATGCTATCTAGAGCCACATTTGCCTAACTCCTTAGTGAAGACAGAGAGAAAGTTCTGAAGAAAACTGAAGGGTTGCATTTGTGGCTTGCACCCTTGCAGACTGTGGCAAACACCCCAGAATTCTTCGTTCTCTAACCACACCCAGTCTGGCATTCCACACCAACAACCGGAAGAAGCTACCTTAGCTCCTTGCCCCCAGAAGACCATTACTAACACGATGTTCACGTCATTATGGAATTTTAAAGAACACTGGAGAAACAGCATATTTGTTTGCTTTGTTAGACTAATTTCAAAATCCAGGTTTAGTGTCATATTTTATATATGTGTAAACTTTTAGGTTTTATAACAACATGAATTTAGAAGGCCTGTAATTTTGATATTAGAATTCCTACTTCTGGTTTCTATTAGAAATTGAAGTATATATTGTAGCTAGTCAAGCCACAGTACAAGTTGATTAGAAATAAACAAGTTACAAGATTGTGTATTATGTAGATTCATGATTTGGTTTAGTCTCAATGTACTAATTTTTATGAGAATTCTTCCTATTTGGATTAGAGGAAGGCTCAGCAAACTTCAGTCCACAGGCCACATCTAGCCTATCTTAATTGTTTGTAAATAAACTTTCAATGGAATACAACACTCATTTGTTTATGTGCTATGTATGGCTGTCTCTGTGCTACAATGGCGAAGTTGAGTAGTTGGAACAGAGATCACCATAAGACTAAAATATTTACTATCTGGCCCTGTACAGAAAAAGTTTGCTGACACTTGGCCTAGAGACAGCCTACAGGGATGAGTTTAAGTATATCCTTCCTGCAAGTTTAAATTTTATTTACATAGTTCTAAATCAGTCCTAACAGAAAAAGGGCTTTAATATACAGTGGCAAAGATAGAAGAATCTTTTACTTAACTTTTTATAACCAAATACATGTTTAAATAGAAAAAAATATACGAGTTGGGATAACTCCTTTTAGTATCTTTTCACTTTCTTGGAATTTAAAAAACACTCAAAATAAAATTAAATCCTCAATGTGACTAAAGCTGCAAGAGTATTTACTTTGAGTCAACTTTCTGACTATAAAAGACCTCACTGTCATAGCGTTAGAGAACCTTCCTCCCATAATAACCATAATTTTTATTAATAAGCATTATTTGTTAAGCTTATGCAATATATTCAGGAAAATTTTCAAATCACAGGAAAGCAACAGATGCAGCAGAGAATTAAAATAGTAAAAACATAGTTAAATGGCATCAAGAGAGAAAAGGGCTTATTAATTTTCTGTTTAACAGGGATTTGTTGATTGGTGGTGTAAGTCATGCTATTAAATGCTTTCTAAAATATTGTCATTCCATTTTCTTGCCTAGGTAAGTGTAGCTTAATGAATATAATTGTATTTTTTCCTGTTAACAATTACATTGTGATAACACAATCATGTAGATATAGGTATAAAGTATTGGGATCAATGGGATATGATTCTGAAATACGTGGTAGATGTTACCGTCTTGGAAAAATTCTTCAACTCAGCTTGCCTTTTGAGAACCAAGAGCTAAATAAATATTTCTAACTGTTTCATGTTCTTTATTAGTGACTGATAATAACTAAGGTTTTACTAGCTGCTATGTATATTACTTACAAATCAAGTGGGTAGAAGAAAAACACCAGGTACTTCCCACGATAATCAGTTAACTTCAGCTCCTTAAATTCTCCATTTATCACAGCCGTTCCTTCCCAATAAGGTGCTGGCTTGGAAACTAAGAAAAATATAGGATATTTTAGAACACTGAGAAAGTTGGTGGGATGACAGAAAGACAGCTTTAGGAAGTCACTAAAAACAAAAGCTTCTAAAACCTTTGGCTCTCTTTAGCAGTCTGGTGACGCTTACACACTTTCCAGAATAATGTTACTGAATATGTAAAAGAAAATATATAGAATTACAAAGAAAACCAATTATATTGAAATGCAATTATCAAAATGTTAAAAACAAGTTGGTGATGTGCCCTTTTATTAACTCTTTAAAAATGCAAGATCTAGCAGTGATCTAATAACTACCCCAAATAATGAAGAGTGTAAATGATGTTTCATTTACTGCAACAACCATAATGTGGCATGAAAATATCTGTGGGTCTATTGGCAACAGGTACAAGCAAGTACTGCTGAAGCAAATGTGATTTGCTGCTGACGTTATAATGAAAGGAAATGCTCCATTTCAGCTGGAGGTTAGTGAAAATACTTTTTTCTCTATGTATGCGCACTCCTCCACTGCACATTCCATCCCTGCACTAATACCCTACTGGATACTTCAATACAGCCCCTCCAAGTGAAACAACTGCCTACATTTCAAATAATGAGGTGTTCCTTTCTGTACTGGCAGTCTTTCGGTTGTACTAATTTAAATGTTTGTCCAGTTTCTCTCACACACAGGACCTGCTGCCACACTCAAGGAGTAGGAAATTGGCAAATACGTCAGGCCAGAAGTATACAATGCCAGACGATGGGATTATTTTCCTAGAAGGTTCTGAAAGAGGAGACCCCCTTGAAAAGGTTTTAAGTGACCTGATGGAAATTGAATAGTTCATGCTGCTCTCTTGTAAGGGCATGCTGTAATTCTAGTCGACGTGCTTTGATAATAATGTACCTTGATCTTCTGGTAACACATTCAGATAGCACTTAAACTTTCAGAACCATTACATACATTGAAGTCAATACTTGCTTCCAAGTTTGACTAAGGTTCCTAGAAACTAAGGCTTATGATAGCCAGCATTTATTATATTTTGTAAAACAGCCAGCATTTATGGTCACTCTGAAAATAGACACAAACTTAAGACAAATTTCTCTGTGAAGCTAATATATAAAGTAGTTACTTATTTTGAGTCAGCAGCCTACCACATATAAATATCCTGATCTGATCAGGTAAAGGCCAGGAGGGAGAATCACATAGCAGAAGGGTACTAAACTGTGTGTGCGGGATACTGCCGTGTTAACTAAATAGATGTAAAAATCAACAATGCTTTGTTGATATATCTATATATATATATATATATACTTTATATACATTACTGAAAATGCTACTCAAGTGTGAGGTTAGAATTGTAATCATCTGTTAAAATGACACTCCTTAATGAGTTTAGCATATTGGGAAAACTAAGTCTGAAAAACAAATTTTGTTCTCAAAATTCTGAGTTTGGAAATTTTGGGTTCTTGATTTAAGAACTGCAATGTTAATGCAAAGAAAAAACTGTAATCAATTTATAGAGCAAAAAGAATGCAGTCACCTTGCTAAGATCTATAAATAGAATTCCCAAAGTAACCCCTGGCATCTATTAAAATCCTGAATACAAATCATATAACAAATATTCCGGCAAATACAAAGCAGTATCAAGAATATTTTTTAAAAAAGAATATTTAAATCTCTTTCCATAACCTCATTAATTTAACTACTGTTAACGTTTTGATGTCTTTCCTTCCAGTCGTTCTTAAATTCACATGTTGCACCCTTTAAGAAAAAAGTTTTTCATGTTACTAAACGTTATTTGAAAGTATGACCTTAATGGCTCTATAATATTCCATTTTATGAATAGAAGTCCTTGTATCTTTAATTCTAGAGAAGCCTACCAAAATTTGAAAAAGTTTTCTGGTAAAGGAAATGCTATTACTATTTTTTCTTTTACTTTTATGGGAAGACTTAGATGGGATTTGTTTCTGATGAAAAATATTTGTAATGCCAGTAAACACTTAATTAGCTGACATATTTCAAAATATCTTCCCAGGCAAGTAAAACTAATGGGACTTGGAAATACTATGATTTTAAAAGTGCAAGACTGGCTTTCTAAAAACAAAAATTCAAAAGTATTAGTTAACTTTCAGTACAAAAGAACTGCAAATGTTTAAGGAGGCAAAACAGTTTTTCCCATCACTCCCACTAAGTCATAACAACATCCCACTTAACACTGCGGATTCATAATTGTGAAGCATACTTTTTTCACTGAATAGAACATGCTGTAATTGAACCACAAAAGCCAAATACACATATTCAGAATGCCAAGTGATCTGTAGGAAAAACAGGTTACTTTAAAGCAAGCAAGGGACAGTTTTTGTCCTTTAACCCCTGGCCACTTCTTTTTGGCTAATCTTAACATCCAGATGCAGCAGGCCACAACTTGATCAGTATCTTAGTCTGACGTGTTCTTCCTGAAAGTGGCCATTAGCTGTGTACACTGGACAGAAAGGCAAATAATGAAAAGCCAAATTGGCAGGACACAAATTTGCCACGAGGTTTATCATCAACTCAAATGCATTACTTTCAACCTCCTTTTCCCCCCTTTCCCTACAAAAAGCCGCCAAAGTACACCCTGTAATAAGTTCTTCATTTCTAAGAAACACAAAGAGTACCCAGTAACTATACAGGTTTTGGGGTCTTCATAAAATGAAAAAAAGGGGGAAAACGATGAAACGTTTGCTCTCCTGAGCATTTTGTTTAGCCACTTTTCTGTTTAATCAAACTTTTTGTGAATCCTTATTCAACTTATCAACGTATTCTTCCCTCAAATAATACTTGGAAGCAGATGCGACGTGCTGCGGCCACTTTGCGATGTTTGAGGAAGTGTTTCAGTTTGCACAACATCCTCCGAGGTCTGCAAGTCCAGGTCCAGGGCTACCCTCTTTCCCTTTTCTGCGGCTTTTGGGGTCACCACTACCTCTTCCAAAATCTGATTAGTGAAAACAATCCCTTTCTTCACAGCTGGAGCCCTCTCCTCCACCCCACTGCCCAAGAGAGCCAGGCCTACCCAGGACCAGAGGCAGCCCAGGGGGTGCAGCCTAAGCCAGGTTCCAGGGTAGCCATTGTAACCAGGGCACACGTGTCTGCCGACCCTCCTCACTTCCCACCTCCCTCTGCCACCGGTCACCTCCGCACCCTACACCGTTGGCGGGGCATCACCTACTCTTAGCTTTGCTGAGGTGCAGGGAGTGGTCAGCTACCGAAACTCGGGACGCCTCTCCCGGGTACACTTGTCCCCCTGCGTAGAAGTGACACGCCTCTTCACGGGTTTGGGGCCTCTTCTCTGCCTCAAAGGCCCGCAGAGCCCCGGCCGACAACAGGAACAGCAGCAGCGGCAGCAGCAGCAGCTTTCGGCTCCAGCCGGGGACTGAAGTAGTCGCGGTTGGCAACCGCGGCGGCGGCGCCTCCATGACCACGCGGGGGCAGACACCAGCTTCTCGGCGAAACAGCACCTCCTCCCGCCGCCAGGCAGCTAAAGCTGCACACTCGATGCTCGCGCGAGCCAGGGCGCTGCCTCGCGAGACCTGCTCCGCCTTCCCACTCTCCGGTCCCCACACGCCCCCCCCCCTCCGCGTTCCACTGGCCACGTGAGCGCTAGCTCCGCCTGCTCACCCACTAGCCGGCTTTGCGCATGCGCGTTGGGGTTGGCCAGGCCCAGGCTCTCAGCCCAACTCCGCAAAGGCTGCTTGCTGGCGCCGCACGTGACTGGCCTCACGCGCTCTGGTGCTCTGCACTGTTTTAGACATCTTTCCACTCCCATTTTTTCCACAAAGCCTCACTACCGCACAGCCACTCCAACAAAGTGAAACTAACCTATCTGCTTTTGAGCGGCGTGCGTTTTATACTTCTAACAGTTACTAGTTTTTTTCTTTGAAGTGATCTGTGTGAACAGTGCCACGACTCCCTCCTCTAGTTGCAGCCCTTTTAAGTCCCGGTAAACGTGGAGAAGAAAGGTCTAACATTTATTCTCCAGCAGGCCAAGGGCAAACAGGCACTTTGGTGACTTGAGCCTGTCACAAATCGTTGTTTTTTTAATCAAAACTTGAAAAGTTTCCAGAAGACCTGACTTTCTCCCAGCACAGGACAATTACCCCTCACATTAAGGAGCCAGGGTCCCTTCTATATTCCTGTGAGCTCCTGTCATCTTTCTGAATCCCGCAGAAGTCTATTAGACTGTCAGCTAGCTCCCTGGGAGATGTCGAATTCATCTTTGTTCGCAAGGCACCCGACACATGGCATTTGCTATTGTAAGCAATTGCTTTTTGTTAAATAACACCTAATATCCCTAATAGCCTTAGTTTCCGGTTGCTTTCACATATTATTAATATATCCTTGCTTTGAGGTACATAGGAAACCCTACCTTTCCAAGCTTGCCCTTCAACCCAATCTTGCTCATCATATGCCCCCCCCCCCCCGCAGCTGCCCCTGCCGGTGTTTGCGCATGCACGCTGTTTGCGCATGCGCCCTGGGAGCAGGTCCCGGCAGCCACGTGACGCCTAACTTCAGGAAGACCCGGTTTATGGCGTCGACTGTAACTGGTCTCCTGCCCTCCTGCCTTCTCTCCTGCCTTCCCTCCTGCACTCCCTCTTGTCCGCCCTCGACATTGGCTTAGGCCCTGCTCATCCTTCCAGGTCCGTCTCTTACACTAAGCTTCGCTGAGGACTGGCCTCCGCCATTGCCCGTGACTGGTCTCTCACACTCAGCACTGTTTTATACCCTCTCTTCCTTCCATGCCCAGCTCTCCCACAAGGCCTCACTACTGCACCCCATCCCCCAGGCCTAATTCGACCCTTCTGTCTCCGAATGGCTTGCATTTTATACCTTTAACATTTATTCTTTTCCTTGCAGTGAGCGGGGTGGAGAGTGCCCTGACTCCCCTTCTCGCCTGTGGAAGCCCTTTTAAGTCCTGGGAAAACTTGGAGAAGAAAGGCCTAACCTGAAAAGAAATATCTCTAGAACACTTACTTTCTTCCAGTGGGAAAGGAACTCTTCCAGCGGGAAAGGAACTCTTCCAGCAGAAAAGTCAGTTTGGTGACTTACAAGGTGTGTCTCATTTTTAGAATCAAGACTCCGTTAAGTTCCCAGAAAACCCTTTGCTCCCAGCACAGTGTTCCATTTTCTGACAATTACCCCAGCATTCACCCATTTGCTAAGAAGGCAGGTGAGGACTAGAGGGGCGAAGCACAACACACACCAGAAAGACAGGAGCTATCCACAGCTTTTATGCCCCCCCCATCCCTTTTATCTTCCTGTGAGCTCTTGGCATCTTTCTGAATCCCACAGAAAAATCCTACAGAAGACATCCGAACAGTTTTCTCTATTAGACTGTCAGCTCCCTGGGGTTGAAATCTACGTCAAATTCATCTTTGTTTCCCAAGGCACCGGCTCATGGCATTTGCTATTACAAGCACTTGATTTTGTAAAGAACACCTAATGTTCCCAACAGCCCGCCACAGTTTCAAGTTGCTTTCACATATTATATCCTTGCTCCTTGTGACAACCCTTTGAGTCAGATAGGACACTTGCCCTTCCCAAATTCATCCCTCACCCCAGTCCTGCCCATTCTATATTTTGCTTTGTGTTTCCTGACCCATTTCCCGTGGGCATAGGAGGAAAATATGAAGCCACCTCCTTTTTGCCTAGAGGCGGAGAGCTTGTCCTTACCCATAACATTGTCTGCCAACTCTTCGCTCTCTGGGGGCCCGTAGATAGGAGGCCCGCAGCTAGGAGTCCTTGGACGAGGAAGCTCTCGCTGCTCCCATTCTTCTCCTTCCCTGGCCTCTTGTTCCACCTGTAAGGGGAATGGGGCCCTGGGGGTTCGGGACTGAGTCCCAGGGGTTCGGCTCAGGCCTATGCCACGAAATCGGCTTCGGTGATCCATCTTGACTGTTGAACAGCCACCAAGCCTCAGTAAATTCTAGGCTCTATGCTAGCTAGGCCTCTAAGTTTGAGAACTGAGAGTGGAAGCCTAGGGAGAGCGTTGTCTCCTGACACCTCTGTTCTAGGCTGTGCAGAGGTGCCCCAGTTGGCAGCAGGGCTGCCCACCAAGTGGGCCCCGATGGACCTCCTGCCCACTGGAGAGAGTGACCAGGTAGGCCAGCTCCCAGGCACAAACTGTGTGTGCCCCTCAGTTTCACCAGAACCCCTTGGCAGCCAACATTCTGATTGGCAGTTGCTCTGAATCCTTCTGTCCAATGATATTTCCCCAAGTGCCTGCCTCCTGCAGGCAGACATTGTGTTGTCACAGCAGCAGTCACAAGGAAGCTTGGGGTGGGGTCCCCGCCCCCAAGGCACTCACCATCCAGCTGGAGTCAGTTGCCCATATTTAGTAATACAAATCCATCAGGCACTGTAGTGGTTTTGAATATAGGATGCACCTGAGAAACACCTGGGGTGCTTAAAAACATTCAAGTGTATGGACCAAGCCCCAGAAATGATGACTTAAGAGGTCCTTGGGATGGGGGGGGGGTCCAAAACGTCTCTGGTTTCATAAATAGTGTGTCTCGTGAAGAACCAGTACTGATGGCAGTTAAGAGCACAGGTTGTGAAGGCAGCTGTTCCTAGGTTCCAATCTGAGCTCTGCCATCTCTTGGCCTTGTGGCTTTGGGAAATGTATTGAACCTCTCTGAGCCCGAGTTTCATCTCCAGATGGGAGACATTAATACTTTCCTCATGTTGTGAAACTGAAATGATATGAATATCATGATATAAGTGTAAAACCTAACTTGGAATGTGGGCCAGACTGTGGGACTCACTTCAAATGCTTTGTGACTTCTGAGGCCTGGCATAAAAAGGATCATTTTGGCCTGTCTGGCACTTAGATTACTCATTCTGAGGGAAAACTTTTTGTCTAAAATTGTTTTGAGATAAAATTCGCAAAACATATAATTTATCCTTTCAAAATGTATAATTTAGTGGTTGTTAGTATAGTCACAGTGTTGTGCTTTGCGCTTACCACTATCTAATTCCAGAACATTTCCATCACCTCCAAAAAGAAACCTCATGTCTGGGAGCAGTTCATTCCTCCCTTTACCCTAACCCCTGGCAAACATTAATATGCTTTCTCTTTCTGTAGATTTGCCTATCCTGGACATTTCATATGAGTAGAATCATGCAATATGTGACCTTTTGTGCCTGGCTTCTTTCACTTAAGTATAATGTTTTCAAGGTTCATTTATGTTGTAGCATGTGTTGGTACTTCATTCCTTTTTGTGGTAAAATGCATATAACATAATACCATTTTAACCATTTTAAGTGTATACTTAAGTGGCATTAAGTACATTCACATTGCTATGCACTTATCATCATTATCCTTCTCCAGAATTTTTCTTCTTCCCAAATTGAAACTATACCCACTGAAAAGTAACCTCCCCCTTTCTCCCCTCCCCCCAGCCCCTGGAAACCACCATTGTACTTTTTGTCTCTGAATTTGGCGACTCTAGGTACCTCATATAACTGGAATCATACAAATTTGTCTTTTTGTGTCTGGCTTCTTTCACTTAAGCTTCATGGTTTTAAGGTTCATCCTTGTTGTAACATGTATTCATACTCTTTTTCCTTTACATGGCTGAATAATATTCCATTATATGGATGTACCCATTTTGGTTTACCCATATATGAATTGATGGATATTCAGGTTGTTTATACTTTTAGGCTATTATGACTAATGATGCTATGAACATTCATGTACAAGTTTTTATGTGAACATTTATTTTTCAGTTCTCTTGGGTATGTATCTAAGACTGAAATTTCTGGGTTATATGGTAACTCTGTTTAACTTTTTGAGGACCTGCCAAAATGTTTTCCACAGCAGCTGTACCATTTTGTATTTACACCAGCAATGTACTGGGGGGGGGTCCAATTTCTCCACATCCTCTTGAGCAATTGTTATTGACAACCCCCCCCCAACTTTCTTGGTTACAGTCGTCCTAGTGGATGTGAAGTGGTATCTTATTGTGGTTTTGGTTGGCATTTACCAAATGACTTTTGATGTTGAACATCTTTTCATATGTTTATTGGCTATTTTTATATTGTCTTTGGAGAAATGTCTATTCGTATCTCTTGCCCATTTTATATTGGGTTGTTTTTCTTGCTGTTGTTGAGTCTTAAGGGTTCTTTATGTATTCTGGATACTAAAACCCTTATCAGATATATAATTTGCAAATACTATTTTCTCCCATTCTGTGGGTTGCCTTTTTACTTTCTTGATGGTGTCCTTTGATGCAAAAGCTTTTAATTTTGATGAAGTCCAACTTATCTATATTTTTTGTTTGCTTGTGCTTTTGGTGTCATATTTAAGAAGTCATTGCCTAATCCAAGGTCATAAAGATATACACCTATATTTCCTTCTAAGAGTTGTATAGTCGTAGCTTTTACATTTAGGTATTTGATCCTTTCTGAGTTAATTTTTGTGTGTGGTGTGAGGTAGGGATCAGGAATACTTTTTGAACACCTACTGTGTGTCAGACACTGGCATTGGGAGGCAGCGGTAACAAAACAGATATGTCTCT